CGGCAGAAGTTATGCCCGGGCAATAAACCATGTGGCAGGATGTAAGCATTGTGCAACTTTTAACAAGATGGTTTATACCAACATCTGTTAACTGACGGCAATGTGACAGCACAATGTCCTTCAGGTTTGGACAACCTTCTCCTAGTTCAGCCATTGCCATGTCCCCCAAATTCTTTTCAAAACGAAAATCATGTTAGATTGAACAAGGATTGGAAAAACGCATTCATGTTAGGTTGCGTGTGCATCAATATGAACATGAAAAACTTCTACCATTTCTATCAAATGTAACAAGGGTGCATCCGGTGCTTCAGATAAGCCACCAGATGCATGTGTTCGTTGGTGCGGTTGGGTGGGAGAGGGAGGTGGCGTGGGAGGGGAGATGAGAAAGGAAGAGAGAACACACCTGCAGAACACTCACGTCTAGGTAACTAAGTTGCGGGCACCCTCTAGCAATGGCTATCAATCCAGCATCACCAATTTGGTGGCATCCACTGACATTCAGATATTGTAGGGAGCTACATTGAGCAACAGCAATAAGGGCCTGGTCCCCCACTCTAGTAGTAAAAGGTAAGATTAGGATATATCTCATGTGATATACAACGTTAAAGACATCTTTAAGTAATCAAGGATGTAGATTCCGACCACAAAACATTGAAAAAAATTTGATTGAATGTTTGAAACAGCACATTCTCAACTGAGCAGATAGAACATAAGCATCTGACTTGCAAAGAAGTGGTGTGGTACAAGAAAACTAAAGAGAGATACGGAAGATGAGAAGAAACTTTACCTATCACAAAACCGGAGGCTAAGGCCTGTGAGAGACCTACAATATTCTCCAACTGCTACAACTCCCTTGTTTCCAATCTATACCAAAAGGCAACAGATATTATCGAAATAGGTAACGAACAAGGAATTTTTTACAGAAGCCAGATAGCAAATGAATCTGTTCAACATAAAAGAGCACATTTATCGTTAAAGATAACATATCAAGAAAGGTGATATGACTCAAATGTAGGACAAAGCAATGCATTTTCTTGTTCCTGCATATTGTTCCGCTCCTCCAAACTAAAGGAAATATCAAATAATAGCAAACTTTTGCAAAAATAGCTATAATCATATTCTGTAAATGAAGAATAAATATGGTGGTGAATAAATAATTGTTAAGGTTGAGAGAACCTCATAACATCGACGAATATGAAGTTTCTTCAAATTTCTACAGCCTTTAGCTACATTACAAATGGCTTCATCTCCAATGCTTGAGCAATCTACCAGATGAAGAGACTGCAAGAACTGACAGCCTCGTCCAACCTCACTAAGTGCAAAGTTGCCTATCCTTTGGCAATACAATAATGCTAACTCAGTAAGACGCCTGCACATTTTCAAATTCTTCAGATTAACCAACCATCAACAGACAAATGAATACATACTTAACATGAATGTAACACCAACTAGGTATTACCATATGAATGCAAGAAATTATATTAACGAACACAATAATAAAATCTTCCAACTGAGCTCAATGTAACCCGTTCCAAGGATACAAATTCTGAATGTACATAGTTTTCCATCGACGGGCAAAACTGACAGCTAAACATCCATGCTAAATGTATCCTATAACCCATTCAAAGAAAAATACTAGTGAAAGCCTGTAGCTTAATGGAATTCTTCCACAGTTTAGCAGCATCAATAAGCTAAACATGAGAACCACTCAAACCATCCATATAATTATTACCAGCAAAATTACCAATTTAAGTTAAACCAAAAGAGGAACATACGGGCAAGATTTTCCAATGGATTCCAGACCCAATGTTCCAATATTGTGACAACCATTCACTTCAAGATGTGTAAGTTCCTTGCAGCCAGTTGCAATTGATTCCAAAGCATTGTCACTCAGAAAGTAGCAGTCACTAACAATAAGATTTTTTAACTTCTTACATCCTTTCCCAATAGCCCGTAAACCTCTGAAATGTCGCAGACATGAAAACAAAGAGATAGTCATTTAACTGCAGGAGCTGAATTAATAAAACGGAAGAGACAAGCTCAAAACTTTTTATTTTTTCTGTAATCTTATAAAATAATGTGTACAGGCACAATCTGAAGTTGAGTGAGAAACTGTAGTGACTCGCTCCAAAAAGAAGTTTCTTATTGGAAAGAAGCCAATAATAAACTACTAAGGAACAAAGAGAATAATGAGTACTCACTTATCAGTAAATTTCTGGAAGCTGTATAGAGCCAACACCTCCAGCGACGAACAAGAAGTTCCAACAGCAGTCAAAGCCTCATCTGTGACATTAATACATTGTAGCTTCAAAGATTTCAAAGCAGGACATCCTTGGGCCACAGAAACCACCCCTTTGTTGTGTATGCACTCTGCATCCAACGACAAGTTTTCGAGAGACTTGCAGTGCAGCCCCACTGCTTCCATTGCAGTATCAGTTATCTTTGCACACGCAGTGATACCAAGAGACTTTAATGAATTCCCAACACCAAGGGCTAATTCAACCACACATACGTCAGTCAATCCCTCACAAAACCGCAAATTCAAATCTTCGAGCTGCTTGCAACACTGTCCCACGGCAGCTAGGCCCTGATCCCCAACATAGCAACCCTTCATAAACAGAAAATTAAGGTTACCTGATGCTTCAAGTCATGGACTTGCCATGTATATCAAAGAGCAAATATATGATTTTAAAATTATCAGGAACAGTTATTGGCACTCCAAAAAAATCATCGCACTCCACTAAAGTGCAATTTCTCTCCTATGTTTTTACAAGGAGTGCAGGATAACATTTATTTCCAATGCTTACGGAAAAGATTGCATCTTTAATGAAAGCAAGACTGCAAGACAGCACCTCAAAAGAAACCCCATGTAGGAATGTACCAATAATTTCCACTTAAGTATTCAAACGAAGAATTGTAGACTTCAAGCATTAAAATTTAACTTTAACAAAGCAATAATAGACGAGATTAAAAGCCAATTAAGCAAAAACTCACCTGCAAATCCAATGATTTCAACATTTTACACTTATCAGCAAGCGAAATTAGACCAATACTGGAGACATTGGAGCACCAGATTAAGCTCAACTTTTCGAGCTTGGGGAATCCGTCTCCGATAGCAGTCATACCGGCGTCCGATAAGCTGTTCGAATCAAGCACACCGGAGCCATTGGCAGAATGCAGCCTCACCGACGAAACCGCCGCAATATCCGTCCCGCGCCTCCTCCCCTTTAAAAAAAACAAAACAAAACAAAACCAAAATCGTTAAGGCCCTGTTTGTTTCGACGAATTATAATAACCCAATTCGAAACAAAACCAAAATCGTTAAGGCCCTGTTTGTTTCGACGAATTATAATAACCCAATTCGTACCGAATTGGGGATCGATCGAATCGGTTGAGTGATTACGGGGTGAGTAGGGAGCGAAATGTTGAGGCGCTCGTCAATGTGTACGGTGCGGACGTTGCGGAATAGGCGGGCGAGGAGGTCGACGACGAGGTCGGGGCTGCCGGTGGCGCCGATGCGGAGGGTGGTGCGGCTGAGGCGCTCGAGGGCGAGCCAGCGCTTGCAGACAAGGGAGCAGGCATCGCGGCTGGGCTTGGAGTCGAGCCGCCGGAAGACCTCGAAGATCAGTTCGTCGGGGAGACACGTGTTGATCCGATCGTGGCCTCGCATCGCATCGGGATTCGAGATTGTTGAGGTGAGCTGATGAGCTGACGGGGGGGGGGAGAGAGAGAGAGGAGGTTTTGGGGATCGAAATGGATGGATGAATCAATGAAAAGCGGTTTTTGGAGGGGATCGGTGGAGTCAGCGAGCTGCTTTGTCGATAATGCCCCTGATTGTTCGACATAACTGCCGGGATTCGAACACAAGATTTTGTACTTTCTACTTTTGTTTTGGTCCATTTTCGTACTTTCGTTCCTCTTTAGCCTCCACCCGAAACATGCTTTGCTTTCCCTTGTTTGAGTGGCCTGTCAATTTCAGTACATTTTTAGGGTGTTACCTTCGAATCTTGTAAATAATGGATTCGATAGTAAATTAAATTATTTATTATGTGACTTAATCAAACTCTTCCACTTCTCACTACAGAAATATCAATGTACTCAAAAAAAAAAAAAACGAATTTTTAATTTAGAGAAGAAATAAAAAATAAAAACTTAAATCGTTATATCTCATATGTCTATTGTAAATTAGTAAACGTAACAAAACGATTGTTTTTTGACATTTACTATTTTTGGAAGTGAACTACTCAAAGGGGTTGTGTACATTCTCAAATAATCTCGAATGTTTATATTTTAAACTTTGAAAGTAATGTTAATAGCCCAATTGAGACTAAATTTTTGTTTTTAACAAAACTGAGAGTGATTTTAAGGGAACCAAAATTACTTCGAATGAGAAGTCTCAATCATCTCTTAATCACTTCTAAACATGTTCTAATAGGCTACTTTCAATGATTTATTTTCTTCTTAATTCTTATAGATTTTTATTATAAAAAAAAAACATTCGATATTACAAACACTAACATATGAAAGAGCAGACTAAACATTTCAGTAGACTAACCTTAATAATTTAGTTCGAATTCATTTTTTGACTAGAATTTAAGTGACAATTCTTATGAGGAGAAATGCTAAGAGCATCTCCAAATAAGATGTCAAAATATCCACATCAACATTAACGGTGAACAATAAATTATAGATATTTGAAAATAATCTATGGAGATTTTTTTAGAGTGGAACTCTCTTGTACTCTCAACACCTCATTTTAAGTAAACAATAAATTCTCAATATTTGTCCCATTAAAGACATTATTCAATCATGATATAAGTAAAAAATGTCAACTACCGAGGTGTCATGGTTTATTTAAAAATTAATTATAATTATTTTTGTTTTACCTTTTTCTTTCTTTTTTTTTTTTTTTTTTTTTTTTTTTTTGGCCACAGTAGGTACATATTATTTCACTTTCATTTTTACATACCCGCGTTTTATCGCATAAAAGCAAAAACATAAATAATTTTTTTGTTTACGTCGCGAAAATAAAAAGCTGAGATTCGCACTGAGCCAAAAGAGACTGGCTTTTCTCAATCGCCATTGACGAAAGCTCCGCTGTATTTCCCTGAATTCTTCTTCGAGAGATAGAGAGAGGAGAATTGAACGACACCGTCGATCATGTCGTTCTCGTTCTTCAAGCCGTCGAGGCCCAAAACCCCACAGGAGGTGGCCAAGGCCATCAACGACAGCCTGTCAGCCCTCGACACCCAGACCGTCGTCGAAGTCAAAGCCCTCGAAAAGGTCCCCTCTCTCAATTTCTAGGGCTTTTGATTAATTGTTCTTGTTCCAATTTCCCAAACTTGCATTTGTAATTTGGTTATACAATTGGGGGCAAAATCTTTGCTTGGTTTTGCTTTGTGGGTGTGTGTGTCTGCAGCATTGCATTTATCAATGGGAAACTGTCAATCGGGTTGATTTATATGGACCTAAATCTAAGAAATTTGATTAGTACAAGCAAATTTGCAAGTGTAGAAGTGCTTTTCGAGTCGAATATCGTGAGTGAGTATGCAAAGTTACTAGCTTTTGTTTCCCCAATTTCGTTGGCACTTGGCGTTACGAAGCTTAATTGCTAGATATACAGTTGCGATACGAAGTTAATGCCGTGATATATTTCTTTGATTAATGATTTGCTAGTTCTTTTAGTATGATGCTGCTCTACTTTATTATAGGCTTTGGAAGAAGTTGAAAAGAATTTCACAACAATGAAATGTTTGCTTTCTGGAGATGGGGAGACCGAACCAAATATGGATCAAGTTTCGCAGCTTGCGCTCGAGATTTGTAAGGAGGGTGTTTTTGACCTTCTAATTCACAAGTTACCTATACTGGGATGGGAAGTAAGTTATGGTCATTTGTGTCGTAATGTCTGGCATATGAAGCATTGGTTACACGCGATGATAAATTGTTTTCAATTCAGGCAAGAAAGGATTTGGTCCATTGTTGGTCCATATTGATGAAGCAAAAGGTTGAATTGACTTATTGCTGCGCAGAATACATGGAGAACCATTTGGAATTATTAGACTTTCTTGTCGTGTGGTAAGTTTATTTAATGCTTTTTAAGTACTTCTGTGTAAAATATATATTCTTTCCTTGGTCTTTTCCTAACATGTTGTTTCCACATGTTTGAGGTGTAAGTTTAATTTAATCTTTCCCTTTCTCCTTCACTTTTAGGAGAATTCGTTTTCTGTTGCCAATCCAGTGTGTCTGTTAAAGAAAGGGTTTATTTGAGGGAAGTTATCAGAATGAAACCATGTGACTTGTGTAGCAACTATATCATATTGTTGTGTAGTGACAGGATAATAATGATGATGCTCTTGCGAGACATTTGGTGGAAGAGGGCATATGAAGTGTTGGATACTAGAAGTATATCTGAAGTGTTAGGATACTAGAACTACGCCGACGGTATAATCATGATGATTCTAAAGCAATATACCCGCAAGAATACTACAGCCTGTTTGCTAATCAATCATCAATTATTATATTGTGAATTGGCAAGGTCTCTTTGTTGACTGTCATGTCATATTTTGACCGCAGACATCATGTTCTCTATCTATGCAATAAACATTTTGCATTCATAATTCTGTTTCACGAGTGCATGTATTTTTCCATTCATAATTCAACTGTTTTAAAATTTGTTTATAAAACATTTTGCACAACCAGAGTTGTCTTGTCTAAATTCTGCTGATGTCGTCTTGCAGTTTCTTTACTTAAAGTTTGTAAGTGAACCACAGACTCATGCACGTAGCTAGGTGTAAATTTCACCATCAGCTATGACTAATGAGACATTGTCCCTAATGTTTTATAAATTATACTTGTCGTCATACTTTTTCAACTGGTAAATTAATAATTGCACGACACTTATTGGTTTCTTTTTCAAGCAGCTATGATAACAAGGAAATTGCTTTGAATTGTGGAAGTATGTTGAGGGATTGCATTAGATTCCCTGCACTTGCAAAGTAAGACATTTAAACTTTTCACCTTTTTTTTCCCCTAATGGTTGTTGCAGGTCGGTAAGCCTAAAGTAGATCTTATTTTGTAAAAGGAGCTGCTCTGTTGCGTTTCATTAGAAGATTGTTAATGATTGTAAAACAGGAAACTTTTGGATTAACTAATATGTGGGTGCAATAGAGCTGCTACCCTCTTTTGTTCGTTCTTTTTATCTTTAAATATTTCAATTTTCCTTCAAAATAGCAAAGCAAGTTTCTTTTATTCACACATTTGATTTGTGTAGTATTTTTCAGATACATACTGGAGTCTGCGAGCTTTGAGTTGTTTTTTAAATTTGTGGAGCTGCCTAACTTTGATGTTGCTTCTGATGCATTCTCTACCTTTAAGGTCAGAACCTCGATCTTCATTGATGTTGGACCTTTGTATTCGTTGCTGAGCTTTTATGGCCCTATCTGTTCTTTCATAATATGTCCCTGAATTTGGCAGGATCTACTTACTAAACATGGAACGGTGGTATCTGAATTTTTGACTGCTCACTATGATGAGGTTTGCTCAATCTTTATCTTAATATACTTTTCTGTACAAATATAGTCAGTGGCAATTGTAGCTGTGTGACTTTGTCATATGTTTATGTTGATTGAATATTTTTTTCACTTACGATATCTGCTCAAGCCGACCCCACTTAGTGGGAAAAGGCTTTGTTGTTGTTGTTGTTGTTGTTGTTGTTGTTTACGATATCTGCTCAACTAAGATGCGTCTTCACTAGCGTATTGGTAGATTGTAGTGTATATTATTTTGAGCTTATCTGATAAGAAATTGTTGTTCTAGTTCTTTGATCTATATGAGAAGCTCTTGACATCTCCAAATTATGTGACCAGGAGGCAATCTTTGAAGGTTGGTTCTGGTTATCTAACTTTGCAGCTTCTGTCTATTATTCTTTTGGTCCATGAGATAGCACTAAAGGATAAATTGTATATGGATTTTAGCTTCTCTCCGAATTCCTCTTGGAGACTCCAAATTCACATATAATGAAGCGCTACATCTTAGAAGTTCGGTACTTGAAAGTCATGATGACGTTGCTCAAGGTATTGAATTTACTATTGATATTACTCTCTAGGACTATGAAGACCAAATCATGGGTTCTACATTGAAGTGTGCATAAATATTGTTACTTCGTGCATTTAGCATGTTGTTTAATATATTTTTTAATATGAGCAGGATTCAAGTAAAAACATCCAAATCTCTGCCTTCCACATCTTCAAGGTGCGTCCCCTGCTCATTTTTCCTCTCCTGCTCCCTGGATGTATGTTTGTATGAATGTGATTAGAATATGGAGTGCATTTTGTACGCTGCTTTTTGAACTTCATGCAGTGAGGGATGTGGGTTGGAACAATGTAAAGATGCATATAGCGTACGAGTTAATCGACTTTGTAGGATGGGAATGTTGACTGGCCGTCTGATATTGATCCATAACTTCACGTTTGTCAACTTCATAAATAAAAGTCTGAGATTACTTCGATTCCCAATCATGTTTCTCAATTTTTTGCATTTCGTTTAATACTGATTATTCTATATCTGTGTTCTAAATGCAGGTCTTTGTTGCGAATCCTAATAAGCCACGGGAAGTAAAACTTATCCTGGCTAAAAACCATGAAAAGTTGACGGACTTGCTTCAGAATCTTTCTGCTGGAAAAGGTTCTTAACTTTTTACCTTTCTGGCCATTCAACTCGTTGCAGGAATTGGCTTGTGAAAGAATGATGGCGCTTCTAAAAATATTTTTAACTTTAATGTCATATTTATCCCCGCTGATTTATAGTCTCATTACAGGCGATGAAGACGAGCAATTTGAAGAGGAAAAGGAGCTGATCATCAAGGAAATCGAAGGAGTATATCAGCTAGTTAATCTGTAGAATACCTCTCACATCTGCTTGTCGTGCTTGTTCTGATATCCGATTTTCTGCAATTATCGTCCGACAAAACGCCATGTGCCAAAGAAAAGGGAAAAGAGTATGGATGGAGTATAATGCTTTCCGGAGTCGTGTGTATCAACAACTGTATGCCCTTGTAATCTTTGTTGAACTACGAAAAGAGAAGCAAAAAGGAAAATTGTTTTGATACATGTCGTAAAATCTCCGAAAAAGTATGTAAAAATGGTTGTTTTTCAGTGCTCATGAGCACTTGTGAGCTATATATTTGTTCTTCTGTGGGTTTGCCATCTTATAAAGGTTTTGCGTTTGCTTGATTGATCAAACTCCTACAGATTGGAGAGTTCTACATGGTAATGATTGAGAGAAGAATTTTAAAACTAGTTTGCTCAGAAGTTGCCCATAATCTTTTTGAATTTGATTCTTAGAGCAGTTCCATCGTGGGAAAGGCCCCCCAGGCAATACATTATACTATCAATTCCATCCAGTGAAGAGTAACCGCCCTTAATGAACAGTAACAGTCTTTTGCATCTTCACCGTTGCACTTCAATAGCCCTGGCAATAGGCAATAAAATATTAGTATTTTTTTTATTTATAAAATAATATCAACATAATTAAAAAAAGACAAAGCAAAGAGCAGCATCTCTCTCTCTCTCTCTCTCTCTCTCTCTCTCTCTCTCTCTCTCTCTCTCTCTCTCTCTCTCTCTCTCTGTTGAAATGAAGACTACCAACACGGCCACCACAAACACAAAGCTTATCCTCCTCCACCCCCAAGCAATCCACAAACCCACCACAAACGGCGAAAGCCACTGCCTGTGGCTCCTCTTCTTCTTCACCTTCTTCACCCTCGCATTCACCCTCGCTCTCATCAGCACCACCATCCCCCAAACCCTCCCCACCTCCTCCCTCACACCCACCTCCGTACTCCCCCTCCCGCCCGCCGTCCTGGACGCATTTCTTCACTACACCATTTCATCATCAAACACCTCGTCAGCACCCCACATGTCCCCGCCGGAACTCACCTCCATATCCTCTGCCCTCACCCGCCTCTATGCACCCAACTACAATTTCCTCGTTTTCGGCCTCACCAGTCCAGAACCTGACAGAAAAAAAAATTAAAAAAGGTGTCTAACGTTAGCTGACGTCAGAACCACCTTAGGCACTCGGGCTGACATGAATCTACAGGCCTGGCACTCGAGCCTACTTAGGCTCCCTTGCCAGCCAACGCTCTCCCTTGAGCAATCAGGCCCTGTGCTAAAGCTTGTCCATCGAGCAAAAGCTCCCGCTGGAGCTGCTCTTAGAAGCATGTGTTTCCTCAACTCATGATTGACTTGGAGATGTTAGTTGACTTTTTTTTACGGCTACAATAATTTGGTATCAAATGCCGCTATTTACAAGATATGGGCTTTCATTTTCACTTACAAACAAAGAATAATCACCAAGAGTCAAGTCTCCCTCTCTCTATATTATTTGTAAAACAAATAGAGAATAAAAGTTAATTTGGTATATAATGATTTGAATTTTTATGATCAAATTAGGACTTGGTCTGACACTTAATAAGATATGAGTGTTGTTATTTCTACTAGTATCTTATGTTCCCACTCACTTTTTAAAGAAATTTTCAATTACAAGTTTGTTATTTGTAAAATGACAGATAAAGACCTTATTTACCCTCTTTTAGGGTTATCTTTTTTATAAAAAAAAAAACTAATGAAAATGGCTTAAAAACTTTGAATTTAATCAAAAGCACAAAAATGTGTTTGTAAGTGAATAGTACCAAGAGTGACTTTTTAGAGTAAAAATGTTATTTTTCGTTAAAATGAACAATACCGAGAGTGTTTCATTAAAATTCCCTTTAAAACAACCAAAATGTTGGCACAATCAATTTGTTAAATAAACAAGTTGGGCGTAATAACTCCCATGTTTTGTTCATAAACGATTTGTCTAGCCTTAAACCCTAACTCAAATTTTTAATTCCCTTCATTCAAAGAAAGCAGAAAGCAAAACGAAAATGGGCTTAGAAGATGACGTTGTTATTGAAGAGGTAGAAGATTAAGTTTTCATGAAAAAAGATAGAAGATGACGTTTCCATGAAAGAGGTAGAAAACGATGTTTATATATTATTTGTTTATAATTTTTTTAACTTTTTATGGTGGGTGAATTAAACTATGACTCAAAAAATAAGACAACGAAGTGAGTATAACAGCTCCCAAGTTATTTTTTTTTAACTATATCAAAACGCCCGTTTAAACAACTCTATTTACAAAAAGAGATCGGACTTAAGTAAAGAAATACAGTATTGATCAACTGATTTAGTTAATGATTGCTTAGTGAGAATATTCCGGTGGATATTGTATTTAAAATTGTTTATTTATTTTACAATTTCGGTGCGTCATACATGGTACCATATACATCTTAATTCTATAAAAATTATTTTATTTAAAATACATCTTGTGTAGAAGAATTAAGAAAAAAAAAAATTCTAATTTAGCATTTAAAGGGATATTTAATTCACATTTTCCTTTCAAAATATTAAAAGTTAGATTACGCCACCTTGTCGCTATTCTTGTAAAGAGTATTTACTCGATACGGATACAGAGTCCCGGTTCATCTCCGACTCCGAATCCGATTTCAGAAAATCTCTATCCCCCCAAATCCCAGAAAATTCCCGCAAATCTCGAAAACCCCAACCTCTCCTGCTCTCATCCATGGATTTCTTTAAGTCGGTCTTCTCCGACGACCCCCTTCCCTCCGACGATCTGCACCCGGACGCCCAAAACGACGGCGGCCACCCGAACCCGGACTGGGAACCGGACCGCAGTCCGCGTCCGAATTACGGCGCCGGGGCGTGGAGCTTCGGAGGTCTGATCACGACTCTGGCGACGAAGTCCGAGTCTGTCATCCAGAACTACCGCCGCGATCTCGAGGAGTTCGGGTCCGGGTTGAAGAAGGAGACGGCGGTGATCCGGCAGGTGGCTTCGCGCGCCGTCAAGGATCTTCCTGGTTCGCTCGAGGTCGGCGCTTCGGTGGCTCAGGAGTCGCTGGAGACGGTGGGGCAGGCGATCGATGATATCGGAAGCACCGTCTGGAAATCGACGGCGAGGATCATCTCTCACGGTAGGGACGCAATCTTAGTTGATGATGATGTTGAATCTGATAATTTGGATGATAATGTTAGTGGTAATCGTGAGATTGGTGGTGATGATAAGAGATTAAGTAGCAGTGGTAGTGATTTGAGAAAGTACAGTAGGTTTGAAGCTCAGGTGCGTGCGGTTCAGAGTAATTTGAGGACTTATTTGGAGGAACCGGAGGATTTGGAGAGCTATGGGAGCTGGAAATTAGGGTTTGTGCTGGACGAGAAGGCGGAGGAAGTCGAGAATTTGATGAGGGAAAATGGAGTGATTGGTGAGATTCATGGGGAGATTGTGCCTGGTAAGGTTGACAATGAGAGCTTCTGGGCTAGGTACTTTTATAGGGTGCATAAGCTGAAGGAAGTGGAGGAGGCGAGAGCTAAGCTCGTGAATCGCGCAATTTCAGGTGAGGAGGAGGATTTGAGTTGGGATTTTGATGATGATGATGAAGAAGATGTAGGGAAGGAAGAGGGTGATGGGTCGGATTCGAAGGTGGGTTCGAGTGGGAATGTAGAGTTGGAGAAACAAAAGGGAGCTTCTTGTGAGGCTGCTGCAAGGGAGGGTGCTGATGTTGAGAGTGTTGAAGTTGCTGCAAGGGAATCAGTAAGTAGCGATGGTGGGGATAAGGCGGAATCCAAATTTGATGGAGTGTCGGAGGGGAAGACGGATGGTGGTGATTCTTGCAAAGAGAGTGATGTATCGATTGTTTCGAGCCAGCCCTCAATGCCTGAGGAAGAGGATCTTGGGTGGGATGAGATTGAAGATTTAGGAAGCATAGACGAGAACAAAGGGGATGCAACGGGGAGCAGCGCAAACAGAGCTGATTTGCACAAGCGGCTAGCAGAGGAGGAGGATTTGAGCTGGGATATCGAAGATGATGAAGAAGATGGCGCTATAAAATCACATTGAAACTGTTTTCGCAAGAAGATCGCAAATGGTATGTGAAGATAATTGTTTATTTGGTTGTTACACGACGTAAATATATTCTCTTACTTATCTGTTACTTTGAAGTATAAGTGATTTACATTCACATTTATGTCACATTTTGTGGTTCACTTAAATTAGAAAACCCGATACGGGTTTCCTTTGCTATATGTTCAATGGATCTCCTTGCACCCTAATTTGATACCTAATTCGATATGGCGTGTGTCATAATTTCTCTTATGATCAAAACACAAACATGTCTAGCGAAATAAGAAAATCCGGTGTTCGAACAAGTTGAGCAATCCATAAAACGGAAAATGAATCACATAAATGAAAACGAATTGCTCGGTATTCGAACTGTTTAAAGAGTAAAAAGGAAACATATACTCTACATCCACAATGATTATGTTCAGGCTTGGACCATATACTATGTCCACAATGAGCCAAAACCAGACTGCAGAGAGTTGAGTCGGTAGTCGGTACTCAGCATGACTAATTGTTGCTTTCCCTCAGCATCCGCAATATAGTCAGGAACAGGTTCAGAATGTCAAGATAAAGAGTGATGGAGGCCCAAATGTACTCATCGTATGTGAAGCGCTTGATCAGGTTGTCGGTGTCATAGACAATGTACCCAGAGAAAATGATAGCGCCAATGGCACCATATACGGCGTTAGTTGTAGGGCCAAGAGGGAAGAACATCTACACAAGGGCACAAGATCACCAAGTCAGATCGATATTTCAAGTATTTAGGGTATAGTATGCGCATGCATTTGACTAATTAGACTCAAAGAGTTAGCCAAACAAAGTAATAGAAAGACAATCCGACCTGCATGAAACCAGTTAGGAGGAGGACAATGAGGCCGGTGAACAAGACTGGTCCGAGGAAGCTGAAGTCCTTGCCCTTCCTCGAAGCCCAGAAGGTGTAAGCAGTCAAGGATGCAACCACAGCCGAGGTTAGAATTAAGGCTTCAAGCACAATTGCTCCTGAAACCACAAACATAATCAGATGAAAAATCAGCAACCGAAATAAACCCTACAATCGTTTCCAGATTGCAAGATATCAGTAAAACATTCAAAATGTAGGGAAATAAAACTAACCGTCTGTATTCGCAACGGCCACACCAACCGTGACACTCAAACTCAGAGTGAAAAGTCCGAGGAAGACAAAATTGAGGGGATGCTTCTGCTGATACACATGCAGGGGCCACAACACTGCAGCAACATTCAAAGGTTAATAAGATGAAGCAAATATTTCCCCAAGT